CGGAAACACATTTTGTCGGTTTCGACGGGTTTTCACGATATTTTCTTCTGTTCCAGAGGTTCTTAACTGCCAATGTTATCTCTAAACGTATTTGTACAGTTATTAACCGAAGATAAGAAGGAATCCGTCGTTCTTATCCAAAAAACCCCAACCGAAGCCTATAAATACAAAGCTCGGAGGCTCATTTCAAGGGACATGGACATCAAGAGGGGGAGGTGCTGTCAAAATTGAGAGTGAAGCCACGAATTTTAGAGGGTTAGCAGGTCTTGATGAAGTTTATCCATAAACAAAAATTGTAATAACCGTGAATTTTGATACTAGTTAAAATAATTTTCTGGTATTTTAAAATATTTAATTATGATTTTTAAAAGAGTATTTGTATTTTTCTCGATTTTCTACAATTTTCTATGATTTAAAAAGCTGATTATATATTTATTTAAATGATTTTGATATTTATAAATTTTCTACAATTTTCTATGATTTAAAAAGCTGATTATATATTTATTTAAATGATTTTGATATTTATAAATTTATTTTGTGCAGTAAAAAATTTCTAGAATTAATTTATTGTGTTATCGATACTATTACATAATATTTTAAATAATATATTGTATTATTAATATTATTACAAATTATTTCATATAATACATAATATTATTAATTACGTGTTTTGGTATAATTTATTGTATTATTTCATACAAATTATTTCATATAATACATAATATTATTAATTACGTGTTTTGGTATAATTTATTGTATTATTTCGATTGTTACATATTTTCTGTCGTATTAGTATAACTAGTATGTTTTACTGTGTACGTAATTATCCCATAATTATTTGATTTTAAATTTAAGTAAAAATATTTTTATTATTAATTATTCTCGTTTAATTATATAATATAAGTATATTTTGACTATTTCGTATCAATTATTGTAATAGTACAACATGTACGTTTTTAATTATAAATAATTATTTTGTAGTTAGTTTGATTTTTAAATACCCGTAAATATTTATTTTAATTATTTTTGTTTTTAACCCTAACCCTAACCCTAATATTATATATATATATATATATATATATATATATATATATATATATATATATAATAATATATATATTATATATATTATATATATACTATAGTTATACATCTCTTCTCTCTCCTACTTCATAGAAAAACACTTGCCGCCCCATTATCATCTTCTTCTTCTTCTCTCTTCGGTTAATCTCCTGAAACCAAAACCCACCTCCACGAATACCACCCTCCAGCCGCCCTTGCGCCGCTTTGACCATCCCCGTCGCAGCTCTCCATCACCCCTCCCGGCCTCACGCCGCCAAGCCTAAGCTCCAGATCTTAGCCGAACGAACTCCAGCTCCACCCTCCTCGTCCTCGCCTACCTCCTCCAGAACCGCCGTTCCCCCTCGCCTCCGCTTGATCCGTCGCCGACGCCGCCTCTTCAACCTAGTCGCCGCCCTCCGTGAGCTCCGCCTCATCAACACCGCTCAAGCCGCCATTCTCCTCTTTTCCCCCACGTCGCCAAACCACCCACCTCTCTTCTTCGTTTCCCCTGCTGGCAAACCGCCTACCACACACACACTCACCCTCGGTGCACACCTCGCCGCCTGACCCGCCCCCAGATCCTCCCCTCGTCCAGTCACCCACCTGCGCCCCTCAGGGCCGCTCTCCGACCCCCGAGATCCGCCTTCAGTCACTGCGCTCTTCCTTGCTCCGCCACCAGCCTCAGATCGAGCACAACTTCCCTGTTAGTCCAGTCACTTCAACTTTCAGATCCGTCGAGGTTGACCACCAGCGACGCCCCATCGACTGAACTCCACAACCCCTGCAGCAGCTCCCCTACATCAGCCACCCCGAGCCCTTCAACAACCGAGCAGCACCGCCTCCGATGTCTCCTCCATCACACGCCACCTGTTCGACGATATGTCAACGTAGATCTAGTTGCAGAACCGCACACCAACAGCCCTGTCGTTTCAGATCCGTCTCGCAGCGCCATCGCCATCGTCATCAGACCCCCATGGTCTCGTAGGCAAGATCCCTCTTCCCTTTGACTCGTCAATTCAATTTCTGGATATGTTGCGAATTATTTGTGCTGTAATATGATTAGTCATAACTTGTATATTGCGATTATCTGCGTGGGACTATTGATGATGACATTAAATAATTTCAAATGATAAATATAACTTGTATATTGCGATTATCTGCGTGGGACTATTGATGATGACATTAAATAATTTCAAATGATAAATTGATGTTTTTCTAGATTAATTAGAATTATGGACTATTGATGATGACATTAAATAATTTCAAATGATAAATTGATGTTTTTCTAGATTAATTAGAATTATTATCATGAGAAATAATTTTTAAAAATAGTTTATTTTAGAAAACTGGTTTAATTTGAATTATTATAATAATAAATGAGTTGAAAGAATTTATTTCGGAAAATGGGTTAGTTTTGAATAATTATAATGTTAAATAATTTTAAAGAAATTTTTTTGGAAAATGGATTACTTTTAAAGGAATCTATTTTTGGAAAAGATTAATTTTGGAATTAATAAATTTGTGATATTGGAAATTACGAGTTTTCATGTATGATTATTTGATAGTTGTAGTTCCATCTTACACTGTTATTAGTAGTTGTTTACGTTTCCTATTCATGATTCATGACACTGTTACATAGTATTCATTGCATTTATGCCCTGTTATAGTTGAGAATCGCGAGTATGGCTTGACCGTAGTGACCCGTGAGATATGAGTTGTTAACTTGGACTTGGGATGGGAAAGTCTTGGTTCATGTTATCGGATATGTTATTGTTTATTTCCAGGCTCGTACCAGTGAATCGTTTCGCACTGGGGTGGGTCTGAGGAGCAGTGATCGGATATGCTTATTGTTTATTTCCAGGCTCGCACCAGTGAATCGTTTCTCACTAGGGTGGGTCTGAGGAGCAGTGGTATTGTGATTATTGATTATTTCCAGGCACGCACCAGTGAATCGTTTCGCACTGGGGCGGGTCTGAGGTTCTAGTGAGATGTGGATAACCAGATATCCGATAATGTGAACTTTGACTATGTGTGAGATGTGAACCAGTGACCTGTTATAGGATGATTATTTACACGACTTAGATTCTTGGCTAAGTATGATTCTTGTGAGACGTAGATCAGTGGTATTTCTTTCCATACATAGATCGGG